TTCATGATATATAATCAAAATATATAAAAGCAATATATGGCAAAGTTACATTCTTAGCAAAGAGGACAAGTGAAATCCACATCTTAGTAACTGATAAATCAAATGGTCAAAAACCATTTGTTTTAAAGATCTGAACATCTAAGCCTAAAGTCCATTAAGCTCAGCCTAATGTACAGGAATAACACACCTTACCCAACAGCAGCAAAACTCTTTTTATCCCTAAGTGTCATGGACTGAGTTACAAGAGGAATCTCAACACATTCCAAAGGATTTTAATACAATTAAGCAAAAAGCAATTTTTTTAACAAAGCAACCCTCCTCATGCCTGAGCTTCCTATGAGCCTTTATGTTCACGCGACACATTAGAAAGATTAAACTTGTACTCTAACAGTTAAAAAAAAAAACAAAAAAACCAGAAAGTACGTAAGTCTTACCTCCTGCTGAATTTAAGGCATTTTCATTCATTCCTCTCCTTGTTTTAGGGAGAGCTCTGGTTGTTTCATGGTAAAGAGTTGCACTGCCAACCCAAAGGCATGCTGTTCGAATTCCCTAGCTGCTACCTGGGAGAAAGATGACTAATCTCCTCTGATCCGATTTACTGCCTTTGAAACCCACTTGAGGGTCAGCTGAATTGAGTTCCAGTTCAACGAGTTCCAGCACCAACTTGTTTTGGGTAACTAAAGTTGAAAACATTTCATAGATGATACAAGGACCAGCACACCTCTAGTACCTTTTAATTCCAGTCTGGTCTCTTCAAGTAAAATACATAAGCAATTTATTACAGGTTTTCTCAAAAGACAAACAGCTCTATTTTAAAATTATTATTGTCAGAGTCAACTATGACTCACCATGACCCTATAACAGATCTGCACAGTGACCTATCCTGTGCCCCTGTCACAATCTAACACACGAGTCCACTGTTGTAGGCATTGTGTCAATTCATCTCGTTAAAGGTCTTCCTCTCTTTTGCTGGCCCTCCATCTTTTCAAGCATGTTCTCTCTTTCCAAGGAATAGTCTCTTATACCAACATGCCCAAAGTATGTGAAATTAAACTTTATCATCTTTGCCTCCAAGGAGCATTCTGACAATTTCCCCAAGACACATCTGTCTGTTCTTTTGGTAATCTATGGGACGTTCAGTACTCTTCTCCAACATCATAGCTTAAAGGTATCAATAATTATTCTGTCATCCTCATTGTCCAGCTGAAAGATGCACAGCAAGTGACTGAAAATACCATGGCAACTTAGTCTTCAGTATCTTTGCTCCTCAAGAATCTGGAGGTGTCCCTGACAGCATACTTGCCCAATGTAATACATCTCCTAATCCCTCGATTGCTGGTACCAAGGGTGTTGATCGTGGATCAAGTAAGTTGAAATCATTGATAAGTTCAACCTCTTCTCCATCTATCATGATGTTGCTTATCAATCCAGTGAAGAATTCTGTCTTCTTGATATTGAGATACAATCCATACAGAATTTTTTAAAATCAATTTTTTAAATTGACATTTTCTATTTCATAAAGGTAAATTTTTCTTGCCAAAGAAGAAATTAGAAGTCAACAGGATGTATGAAAACTAGAATTAATGATTCATGTTCAACAAAGTAGATTACTGAGATTTTTATAGTCCCTCCTTCCCCAAAAAAGTAATAAACCAGGCAAAACAGCACCTCAATAGATTTCCAAAGGAAGGAAAGTACAGAGCCACAGCCTGAGGCTTCAAAGTCAGATCTGCACCATCTTAGTGAAGTATGAGGCTGTCCTTTATGTGCGAGAGGATGAGACCAGATCTGCTCCCCAGAGCTGAGAGGGTGGGTCACTAGTTCAAGGGACAGAAGAAATTCTGGAAGGGGACAAGGGGAGTAAGGCTGTCAGGCAGTTAACCAGGCCTTGTTCCTCCACCTAGCATCCAGAAACCCTTATGCAGATGGTCCGAGAGCCGAGGAGGTTACTGTCCAGCTCTGAGAGTGACTGTAAATTGTTCTTCGAAGTTCTCCACTTGCTTGATGCCTGGTCAGTATCCCTTCTCTCCAATACCTCCCATTTGGAGTGAAGAGGTCTACCTTTCAGTATCCTACCGCTTTCCTTTGCAAACAGGTAACCTGTATTCTCAATTTCACAGACAGGATTTTTGCCTCAGTCTAAAATCTGGACTTGGAGATGACTTCAGATTTTTTAGATTTTCACGTTAAACAGTCAGGATGCCGTCAAGTCAGAATCAAATTATAACTGAACCTCCAGTGCGTTTTCAGAGGTTCTAACTCTCATAGGAGAATGCCCATCTTTCTCTCACTGAGGAGTTGGCAGCTCAACTCCTTAACAATAGGCCACCAGAGTCCCATACACATTACAAGGACATTAACTGGGGGAAGAAGTTAATCAAAGGGTAAAACGTCACTACCTGAACATTATCCCCTAATTAACTGGCTGGGCAATGATTTTCTGTAGTCTCACAGCTATCTAATGATGTAATTACGCTCCATGAGGTGATTATCAATACGTTCTAATCGGACAGGAACAGGATCCAATACCCTTAACTCAGCTCACCACCCTGGACACACCCTGAGGTAACTGTACGTGCTGTCAAAGTATGTATGTACTTACCTGACTTTCAAATATGCAATATAAAATGGCCATAAATTACACTGTTCTAGTCTTCTCCACTCTACGAAAAGTAGACATTTTCCCATACATGCCAAGGCAGTAAAAAGCAAGGGTATTGCTAACACACAGAACGAAAGCATTACTTTAGAATTATTAACTACAATTCATAGAACAAGGACAATTGTACACAGTCTGGTAGTCAAGAGGTAAAAAGTCGTGCTGCAATCCCAGAGGCATGCAAAGCAAATCCACCAGGTTCTCCACGAGAGAAGGATGGGAAATCTCTCGTCTCTCTGAAAACCTGCTAGGGTGTCAGCCACGGGTCAGTTCCAACTCGACGGCACACAGTAACAACCACAGTATGAAGACACAGGGGCAGGGCAGATACTAGATAAATCATTAGCAAGTAGAACTAATCATCTTTTCTTTAAACATAACTTGCATTTTTAAAAAATAAAGATTAGGGGGAGCTCTAGTGGCCTAGTGGCAAGGAGCTGCAACTACAATCCCAGAGACACATGGTTCGAATCCACCAGATGCTCTGCCGGGAAAGGAGGGACAATCTCCTCCTGTACCAGTCAGATCTGATTTGACAGTACACGCACACAAAAATTAAAAAAAAACAAAACAGATCTATTAAAAAAAAGATTAATGGGTTTTGACCTTTCTTTGACACAGTTAAAGGGCCTCCCAGACGACTTTTTTTTCCTCTGAGTTCCTGTATTTTGTTCTTTTGTGTTTGTGTATTTGGCATGTTTCACTCTTGGACAAGGAAGACGAATGATGAAAGACGACTCAATGCCTTTGAGCTGTCGTGCTGGAGAAGAGTATTGAATATACTGTGGACTGCTAAGAGAACAAACAGGTCTATCCTGGAAAGGGTGAACCCAGGCTCCTCCTCAGAAGGATTTGGAAGCTCCATCTGACACTCTGGGCATGGTGCAAGGAGGGACCAATCCTTGGAAAGGGCTGTCATGCTTGGAAAGGTGGAGGGACAGAGAAAGATCCTGGATGAGACAGATTGACTCAGTGACTAGAGTAATGGGAGTAGGTATGTCAGAGATGGTGAGGTTGGCTCAGGGATAGAGCAGGGTTCAGAGAGGGCCACTACGAATTATAAGCAACTCGACAGGATATAATTCTTCGCAGAGAAGCCTGGGAGAGCTGGAATGCAACGTGGCTGCCTTGTTGTTTTGTGTCTTGCGTCTTTCTGTCTTTGGCAAGGGCTGCTCTTACCACTCTTCTGGTGCTCTTTCTACTCAAGGGAAATGCTGCGAGTTGTTTCTTCTCTGGCGGCTTCCTGCCTTACACAGGTTTCACAGCTTTTGCTTTATTTTCACCCCTATCACCTACAATAGGTAAGTGCTGTGAGTGAAATCGGATTTCACCTGGTTCATCTCTGCGCCCCCAAGCGCGCCTTGCTTGAGGCCCTGCAAAAGGACCCAAACTAGTCTCTTAATTCAAAGTGAAAGTGACTTAATCATCCTATTGCTGATAAAGTACTTCCTTCACTTCCTGTAATGACTCCTGACTAAGGTTTCCACCTGCAGGCAAGGAAGTGTTCAAACCCCATTTCTGGATGAGGAGAGGAGAGCACGGTTGAGTTTTTCTCCACCTGAGGATTATTCCAACATCACACCGTGCAGGAAGTAATGAACTCACAAGGAAGATGTTTATCTTGATCTACTTTTTTTTTTTCTTTCTTTCCTTAAGGAATGCCTTTAGCCTCTGGCTTTGCCTTGGGGTGAAACAATGTCAAATGTTCTAGGGCACACAGAAAAATGCCAACTTTTTAGGCCATTTAATAAACCCTTTACACAGAAACACGCAGGAGCCACAAGTATATGAGCTGGCTGGTTGGCCGGCGGCTGGTTTCCAGCCCTTAACAACCGCATGGGAAATGAGGTGAATTGAAAAATCTTATCATATAATAAATACTATTTAATATTAAAATCAGCGGGGACCAGCAGAAGCTTCCCTGTCTCAGAACCTCAAAATGGGAGCTTGACAAGATCATCAGAAAGTGTCTGAGGCGCTCTCAACACCTTACTTCAACAGAGGAGAGGGAGAAAATTCTCTCAGCAGACACCTTGCTTACTCAAGTGGTTTTATCGATACTTTCGAAGGGGGTCTGATTAAAACTGTTATGAAAAGGTAATCATGTTGTTTCTATTTGTTATTATCTCTGAAAAGAGAAAGTCACTGAAGCGTGTGCCGTGCGTTTTGACACCTGGCTGGGCGCAGGTCATTTGCTCACTGTGGCTTGTCGGGAGTATTTAAATTCAGGAGCGACTCCTGGTTGACAAGCGGACGCACCGCTGCAGGCTACACTCCTCACACGGGGCCGCAGGGTTATTACAAGCCAGGGTGTCTACAGAGGACGTGCGAGCAGGCTTACCCCTTCCCGAAGGCACCTCATTAGCACTGTGTATGCAGCCAAGGGGACGGCCCAGCATTCTCGAGGGTTCTTTTTTTTTTCGTCCTAAAAGAAGTGGAAGGAAAGGAGAGGCAATGAAGCCAACAGCACAAAAGGTATTAACAGACTCCAGAAAAAGGCGCAGCTTCAAACACACAAACTATCTGAACTTGTCCGTGTTCTATTTCAAGTACTCCTTGCTACTTGCCAATTACAGTCTGATCCTGGGTCCTTTAATGCACAGTGCAGACAAGACACCTCTTCTCATTAAATTACACACAACGCTCAGATCTTCTCATCAGAAGCCGGGTAAGGATAATTGAGAAATGACAGCAGGATCTGATAGACAGAGAAAGCGCTTTGCTGATAATTAGAGGTGATAATACAGATATCCCTACCTGAAACTATTACATCATCTAGAAGAGCCAGGAAGGGCAACTGACAGTGAGACAGACCGCAGGGTGATCCCAAGGGGAAGACAGCACGCCATCCACTAAGACCATGTGCCAAAACTATGTGAATGAGGTGGTCAGGGGTGCTGATTTCAATGACATGGGCAATAATTCTGTCACGCAAGATTAACCCAAAACATTTGATTACAAGAATATGAATGCAACTTACCAATTTTCAACTTACCAATTTTTTAAAAATCACAATCAGGCATTGTATAGAAAAGTGCCAAAAAGAATGACTTTTAAAAAGTGTGCTTTGGGTGGAAGTTTCCAGAAAAACTGGTTTTCCTTTCAGTCAGTCATGCAAAGTCTGTCTTATGGTATGAATCAGTCTCTCTTCCACATTGTAACAATAACTCTTCCCACTTCTTCCTGGGATTCCCATTTCCATTCATCCTTCAAGCCTATCCCTTCCTGCCTTCTTTCTGGGCAAATACTGCCCTAATAGATCTTGTCCAATTGATTTGGAAGGAGTGAGCGCCTTCCCTGTGTCCATCCCATAAAGCCCGTGTCCGGGGAGAAAAGGGTTACAGTGGAGGGAGCTGCACCACTCTACCAGACCAGCACGCTTGGTCATCTTGTGATCATTTTATTCCATCATCTTCTCCCATTCTGTTCAGGGCTCTCTACTGGGATCCCCTGTAGAATGGACAGCGGTCCCAAGGCCCAATAACTCGTTCTCCCATGGTGTTTGGTTATGATTAAGAATTTTATAATATGTGGATTAAAAGTTGTACTCTTCAATGCAGAAGAAATTAAGTTACACTTGGGGAAATATTTCTCTAAAGTTATCTAAACAGGCACAGTCATTGTTATGTGCCTTTGAGTAGCCTGCAACTCATAGTAACCCTATGTACAACAGTCCTAAACCCTGCTCTATCCTGTGCCAATCTGTCTGACACACCCACCCCGAGCCCCCCAGTCACTAAGGGAATCCACCTCATAGAGGGTCTTCCTTTCCTGTGCTGTCCCTCCAACCCTTCTAGAATGACATCGCTCTCCAAGGACTGGTCCCTCCTTGCAACATGTCCAAAGTATGTCAGATGAAGCTTCACAATCCTTGCCTCCAAGGAGCAGTCTGGTTTAACCCTCTTTAAGATGAACCTGTTCATTCTCTTAGCAGTCCATGGTATATTCAATACTCTTCAACACCACAGCGCAAACGTATCAATTCTCCTTCCATCATCCCTAGTCATTGTCCAGCTCTCTGATATATAACAAGTGATTGCAAAGACCATAGCCTGTATCAGACACACCTTGGTCTCCAGAGTGACATCACAGCTCTTCAGTACTTTGGAGAGGTCCCTAACAGCAAACTTTCCCATCGCAATACGTCTTTTAATTTCCTGGCTGCTGGTGCCATGAGTGTTGATTGTGGAGCCAAGCAAAACAGAGCTGTTAATCTCTTCACCATCTATCCATGATGCTGCCAATTGGCCCAGTGATGAGAATCTTTGTTTTCTTGATATTGAGCCTCAATCCATATTGAAGGCTGTGGTCCTTGACCTGCATCAAGTACTTCAGGTCCTCCTCAGTTTTAGCAAACAGGGTTGTGTCATCTGCATAACGCAGGTCATTGATGAATCTTCCTCCAACCCTAATGCCACACTTCTCATACAGCCCAGCCTCATAGATAATCTATCTTGCATATAGATTGAAAAGGTATGGAGAGAGGACACATCCCTGGCATACATCCTTCTGAATTTTGAACCATGTAGTTGTTCCTTGCTCTGTTCTGAGGACTACCCTCCTGGTCCGAGTATAGGTTTCTCATAACCGCAATCTAGTGTTCCGGGATTCCCATTCTTCTCAGCAACAGGCACCGTACAGATTCAACAGCATTTTAATTTATGCCTGCAATGAAGATGGTTATGTGCCATCGAGTATGACTCTTAGCAGCCCTATGAGCAACAGATATGAAACCTATCCATCCAATCCTGTGCTGTCAGAGGCCTGACTGACTTGCAAAGCAAGATTAGCCCTGTACTGTGAAACCAGCAAGACTAACTCCATCTCGGCTAGAAAATCTGCTTGGCAATATAAACTCAAGGAAGCAGGATGTTAATGAATAAGAGTGACTAAAGGTCTCAGACCTTAGGGAACATTATCTACCGAAATGCTGTTTCTTAGAGCACTCAATTAAGACATGCTGTAAAACATCTTTGTATTGTGCTGAGGTCTGTGAGTGTTAATGTTTGACCTGAGAGTCAACATTTTGGATGGAAAGAGATAATGCGATGGCTACTGCAGAGGTGCTTCTAAAAACCTATATGTGCTTTTGAAAAATAAGTTTTTTGCTATTCGTCATCAACGGGTAGTCTCTCTGAGCCTTCATTCAATCCTCGTCCCTCCTCTCGCGGAACGGTTTAGATATATTACTGTGCCACCCTCACACTCTCTGGCACATGTAAGCCCATTGCTGCAATCACTGTCAATGCACGAGGCTGAGGGTCTTCCTCTCTTCCGCCGTCCCTCCATCTTTCCAAGCCTGGTTCTTTAAGGAATAGCCTGCCACTTCCTTTTGGGACCAAGACTGAGACATCCAATTGGGCCTTCACGCCTTTTCATGACTGCAGCCTGGCCAAGCTCACCACCCTGCCCCCCTTGCTCACTGCCCTGTAGTCCCAGTGGATTTGGTGTGGTCCCTAGGAAAGGTCATTCAGATATGAGACATGTACCCACACTACGGGCCACATATTCTTCTAAGCAATGCCCACCCAACCATAAGCAAAACAGACACACTTTCTGACTTAACCTTAGTGTGGAAAAGACATAAAAAGCAGTAAACAAATAACACACAAGTCACTCTAATAAGGAGTGCTCTTAAGGCAAATACAGCAGGAAGCAGGGTTAGAGGAAGACTCAGGCTAATCCTCGGACAAAGACATCATTCTGAGGATGGTGGAGGTCCACAAAGACAGGATGACCCCCAACAAGATGGACTAACACGGTGATTTTTCAACAATAGACTCAAGTATGTCGGGGATTGTGAGACTGGCACAGGACATGGCAAGGTTGACATACGTTGTTCACAGGGTCATTATGAGTCACCATTGACTTGATGACACCTAACAACAGAACCATTAGCCTGGACAAGACTTTCTAGATGTATCCCACTGAGTAAATGAAAATATCTAGGTGCAAAGCCGAGGAACGTCTGGCGTAAATGCTGGGGCAGAGGCACGACATGGTAAACTCCAGGGACGGAGGAGGACCTGGGACTGGAAGCAGCACACAAGTGGGAGGAGAGTGTAAGGTGAGGCCAGACAGGCACTGCCAAGCCAGCCAACAAGGACCGAACTTGCTATGACAGAGTCGAAGAAGCTGCACCAGACGGCTCAGGGGAGCAGAGACACACTGTTCGTCTCCCATGTGTCTTAACAGGCTCATACTGGTGTATGCCTGCAACAGACCTTAATGGAGACAAACGTGAAGCAGAGAGAACTCATAACAGAGCTGGTGAGAGTTAATTATGTACTAGACAAAACAAGAATACTCAAACTCGAGGCTTTGTCTACCCTTCACAAAATGAAAAAAAGATGCCTAGACTCTGTGTTGCCATTCAATATGCTCCACAGAATCACAATGTGGTCTTCTCGTCTCCAAGCTTGTCATTTTGTGGGTGAGATTCTGATACATAGTATATTACAGAATCTCATTTCAGGTCAGTCCCACTGGGTAGCACTTGACCTGGGATTTCAAAGTTTGCTAAGTAAACACATAAAATTACCGCTTAGATGTAACATCAGAAACAAAAACACAGGTTGTGGGGCACAAATTCTACAACAGTCTAGAAGATGTAAGATAATCTATCATGAAAAAGCAATGGTTACAAGGAGAGAGGATGGGAAGAGCTCAGAGGTCAAGGTTATCAAGGAAATTTGTAGATGAGAAGATTCCTTGTCTTGAGAGCAGTGAGGGTGGCAAGGTGAGAAGGCATGTCTAAAAAGGTATATGTAACCTTTGAGCTGTGGTGCTGGGGAAGACTGCTGAATAAACCATGGACTGCTAGGAGAACAGGTTCATCCAGGAGAGGGTGAAACTAAGACGCTCCTTGGAGGCAAAGATTCTGAAGTTTCATTTGGCATATTTTGGGCATGTTGCAAGGAGGGATCAGTCCTTGGAGAGGGACATGATATTTGGGAGGGTAGAGGGACAGCACAGGAGAGGAAAACCCTCAATGAGACGGATCGATTCAGTGACTTGGGTAATGGGAGTAGGTGTGTCAGAGACGGTAGAGTTGGCACAGGATAGAGCACGGTTTAGGGCTCTTGTACGGAGGGTCGCTATGAGTCCCAAGTGACTCGACGGCACCTAACAACAATGGTAACTTTTACATATGTGCAATTTATTATATGCCAATAATGCCTAAATTATCAGGAAAAGAGGAAGAGGGAATAAAAATAGGCAACCATCAGACTAGACTTTAATTGTTGGCAAGATGGCAGATGATGTACCTGGCTATCATTCTGATGAAGACAAAACAACAATTGACAACATTCTTAAAAAAAAAACCTCCAAGTACTGAAAGGAAAACGAAGAACAATCAAACCAAGTATTAGAAGAACACAGGAGAAGGGAGCTTGACTTCACCTAAGGCCCTATAACATGGAAAACTTAAGCTTTGAAACCAAAGTCATGAAGAGAGGACCCAGGACAATGGTAAAGAAATAAATTCTCCAATCCCAAAGAAAACAAAGTCTCTCAAAATACTACATGCAATGATATAGCACAGAGGGAGATGAACCTTCCATAAAAAGTAAAGAAGCAGGAAAAGGAGGTGGGTAAATCTTTGTGTACTTACTAAGGAATATCTCCATGACTAAAGAGGAAAAAAATTATTACTTGTTGTATAAAATGAAGTAAAATAAGAATCTACACTCCTATTTATTTATATGGACAAAGAAAATTCTAAACTTAAGTAAAATAATAATTATACAGGTGGCTTATGGAGAGCAGCAGACAGAAAAAAATACGAGACTTCCCCAAGTACACTTGTCCTTAACTCTTAGTTTTCCAGCCTAAGTGAAAAGAATGTGCTACCACTTCAAAATAGAAAATTAGTTAAGAATAAATCCAGCGACAGACAGATGCACAAAAGTTTCATGAACAGAAATTTAAAAAAGGAAAACACATAAAAACAAACATTCGGAGAATAATACCATGTATCATTCACAGTAGGCCCTAACTTATTAAGATATTAGCAATCTTCCAAATGATATTCTTATATCATTTAAAACTCTAAATATTAAGTGGAATTAAAAAGCAATTAACAATTCTTGCAAAATTGATAGGCATGGTCAACAAGGTTATAATAAACACTCTCACACACACTAACACACTCTCACACCGTACACTCTTTCACACCAACATATACACACCCACATAATTCACATATTTATACACCACACAGTGTTTTCCTGGGTTTTGTTGTGGTTTCTTGCAACGAAGGGGATTTTCCAGAATTGGACAAACTGATACTAAAATTTATCCTGACATGAGCCTGGCCAGAAATAACCAAGACATTATCTGAAAAAAAAGGCAATAAAAGGACAAATTTGTTCTATCAGTTTACCGATTACTCCCAGGAAATGTAAATCAAAGTTGCAGTACTTAAAATATCTAATAACAATCATGGCAGATGTCTTAAAACATTACTTATCGTTCGCTTAATTGAGTGTTCCATAACATGCAAGCAAGTTCTAGAACTGAGTAATAAGTCAATGAGAAAACTTGACTAACTTTAAAAATGTCAGTACTTAAAATTCTCCAAAAGTATCCCATCAAATAAATAGCTCATTAGTTTATCAATACCTTCTCAAAAATATTAAATATTTATCTTGTAAAATGGTATGTTTTCTCCTATTGAATTCAAAAGCAATTTCCATACTGTTGCTTTAGAAAGACCACACTAAAAGATGCACTGCCCTACAACAGTGCTTCGTGTTGTTGCAGCTGTGTACCATTAAGTCAGAGCCGAGCCATAGCCGACCCTCAGGTGGGTTTTCAGAGGAAATTAATGACATGGGAGGGGAAGGCCCATCCTTCTCCCGTGGAGCAGCTAGTGGATTCGAAATGTGTGCTTTCGGGATTGCAGCACAGCTTCTTACCATTAGGCCACCAGTGCTCCACACCAAAAGCAGTGAATGCTTGCTACCCATAGGGAATTTTACACTGAACCAATGACATCCCCTTGTTTGAAGAAATAAAAAATGGTAGCAACCGTGGGGGTGCTTTGGGCCAAGACATCTGTCAGTTTTAAAACAAGTCCTGAGGATGTCCTCCAACCTGAAAGGAAATGAGGCACTGACAGGGATGGAGACAGGGAGAGCAAGAGGGAAGGAAAGAGGGGAAAAGACAGGACAACACCAAGAGAAAGGCATCCCTGGCTCTCCCCTGGAGGTAACATTCCTCCTACAGTCCTTGGGCCCGCTCTAACGAGCACCGTCCGCACACTTTTACAGGTTATTAATACCTGTCAGTCAGAAGATGTCAAATCACAACAGAGTTAACTGGCAGACTCACCTGGGTGGCAACAAGATAGATCAGTTCCCCGAGAGTTGGTAAAAGGCACTGCTTTAATTTGCTGTTCCTGAAGTTTTCCCTAATTAATTCCGTTAAGAGCGTAATTGCCTGAAAAAGAAGGGAAAAAAGTATTTTTCTTTGTTTTCTCCCAACTTTTAACCTGTGGCCTAGTGACAAGAAGCTGTACTGTAATCCCAAAGGCACATGGTTCAAGACTACCAGGTGCTCCGCAGGAGAAGGATGGGCAATCTCCTATGTGATTAACTGCCTGCAGCTTTGTTCACAATAGCAAAAAGCTGGAACAACCCCAGTGCCCATCAACAAACGAATGGATAGAAAAGCTGTGATATATATTCACACAATGCTGCACTGAAAAACAAGAAACTCATGAAGTATTATGCAAAATGGGTGACTCTGGAGAACATTATGCTGAGTGAAGTATCTCAGTCACAAAAGGACAAATATTGCATAGTGCCACTGTTGTAAAGAGGGACTGACATGGGGGCTGGGGGGAACTAAGAGGGGATAAATGTATACTGCATTGAAACAGATGAGGGAGAGAACTGTTTAGGAGGAATATAGGATTAGATTTTTTTTTGTTTTTAAAGCATTTTTATCAAAGATTCTCTATAAGAGTTCTGAACAAAAGAAGGAAAATGTAGAAGATATTTTCAAAATTCAGATTCGAAACTTTCTGAAGGCATAAATATTGGATAAGTCCCTGAAAACATTGCTCTGAGAAAGACTTTTGAAATAACTGCAAAATATTCCCTGAAGTCTTAAAACCAAACAATAATTAGTAAAATTGTCTGCCTTGAATATTTGGGTTTTTTATTATTCATTTCAATGAACCTTTACAGAGATTTTGGGTTTCCATTCATTCATTGTTGCACTCTTCTCCCCACCCACTCCACCCCCACCCCCAGTTCACTCTTCTCCTTAAAAAACAAGAGAGAAACTCCTTTATTGGTATACAATCCCCCGCAAGGGTTAGATATTATTGTCATGACAAGAGTCCAGAAAGAAGCTGCATAATGGAGTGGACTGGGGGTGGGGGTTTGTATAACAAAGAATTTTTTTACTTTTCAAAGAGAAAAGCAAGCTGGGGGGAGGGGTGAGCAGGGAGGAAAGCGTGCAACAATGAATGAATGGAAATCCAGGATCTCTAAGCTTTCAGTAAAATAAAAAATTAAAAACCCACAAGGTCAGCTCCTACTCTATGGGACACAACAAAAAAACGATAGCCTACAAAACATCTTCCACTTTTGAAAACTAGTATCCAAATGACACTAGGATGAGAGTAATTCTCTCCTATGGAAATCATAGCGGTCACACTGGCTCCTAGTCCCTAAAGGACAAAGTGGAATTATGCCACAGGTTTCTAAGGCTGTAATGGTGTATAGCGAAGGAGACACTCAACCAGGCGGCCTGACACAGTAACTGCAGCAATAGGCTGGAGGGTGCTGGGGCGTGTGAGGATGGCTCAGGACAGGCCAGGGTTCAGATCTCGTGTCCACTGGGTCGCTGTGAGTCGTGTCCTACTCGACGGCACCCACCAAGAACCACCACCACCGTTCACGGGAGCTGACCACGCCTTTCTCCTGCAGCATCTCCAATGTCAGATCTGTCCACTAGCAGCTCAGCACATGATCACGTCACCAAAGCTCCTCCCGTGGTGACGATAGCCAGGATCAGACGATGGAGCACTTCTAGTCACTGGCTCTCAGAGCCACAATTTAATGGCATCAAGATTGGGGGCTTTGTTTTTAGTCTTGAGTCATAAATGAAATGACTAAAATTTATGGAAAGGCCAGTCAGTGAAATCAAGCCAGAACCAACAGTTGACCCACTAGCGGGTTTTCAGAGGCTATAAAACGTACAGGAGAAGATTGCCTGTCTTTTCTACACCTTAGAGCCCCTGGTGGATTCGAACCACTTGTCCTTGAGTTAGCAGCACAACTCCCTACCCACTACACCACTGAGCTCCTTATGGTCGGGCAAAGGAACAAGAAAAGCTAATACAATCTTGAAAAGGGACAAAATGAGAACAATCTGTCTACCTGGCTTCAAGACTTCTTATAAAGGTACTCAAGACAATATGAGAGACAAAGACCCAGAGATAGGCCTACACAGGTTTCATCAAGAGAATTTTAAATGTTTGGAGGTGAAGGTTATTTAACAGAAATGATTTTCGAGGGAAGGCTTCAATAGCATTTCACACATTCACAAAGCTGTACAAGCACCACCTCTGTCGAGTTCCAAAGCACATTCCAATTACTCAAAAATAAAGCCCTGTACAAAGTAAGCATTTATCCCAATTTCCCTTCTCCTCTCAACCCTTGTCTGTAACCACGGATCTTCATCTTCTCACTAGCTACAAATTCTAAATATTCTATACAAGCAGATTCTTACAATCAGTGTTTGATTTCTTTCACGTAATGATTTCGTGGTTCATCCACACCATGCCGTAAGAGAGTATTGCATTCTGTTTTATAGCTAAATAACCCATGATATTTTTTCAAAAATGAACTAGTGACAAACATTACAATTGATTTATTCAATCATTCACCAGTAGGCATTCACCTTTTTGTAAACTGGCTTCTGACAAGTGCAGAAGCAAATTCAATCAAGGATCTTTTTTAAAAAATTGTGCTCAAGTAATTGGATATCCAGGGAAAAGGACTCTTGAGCTATTTCACACAGTACACAAAACCCCAAACAGATCACAGACTTAAGCAGAAAATATAATACTTTTGGCAAAATATAAAGGCTTCAGGATCTAAGGGTAGGGAAATAATTCTGCAACTTAACCCAGATGTTTGATTAATAAAATCCTAACATACTAGACCTTTATCAAAATGCAAAACTTTCCTCTGTAAAAACTAAAGACAAGCAACAGACTGGAAGTATTTGTAAACCATATATGTAACAAGAGATTTATACCTAAAATACATACATACATATATATATATTCAATCTTTTAAATACTCTTAAAACTCAAAAGTAATAGGTTTAACTGAAATGTACAAATGAAAAACACCGAATTGGTCAGTGGTGCACTACCTAGTATATTTTTACAAGCAAAAGACTTAATAGTTTAAAAAAAAAGGAATTTCTTAGAAAACAGGCAAAAGAAATATTTTACTGCACAGCATACACAGATGACACATGTACAAAAGAAAATGTTCAAAATCATTAGTCATTGAGGAAATGGAAACACAGAGCTATCGCTGTACATCTATCACCGCAGCTAAAGTTTGAAAATTGAGAAAATATCAAATGGTGCCAACGATGTGGAGAAAGTTATTTACTCAAACATTGTTGATGAAAATGAAAAATCACACAGCCTGAAAAGGAGTTTGTCAGTGTCTTTAAAAATAGTCCGAAGAGAAGGCAGTAATTATTACAGAATAACTGGACTCTGATTCATCCCTCAGAAAGACAATGTTCTTCAAACTGAATGTTAGAGCCACCTTCTTTTTAAAATTCAAAAACTGTAAAGAACCCCACTGTTTTTCTTGAGTGACTAAACTGTGATACATTTAGATCACGGAATTCTACTTCGCAAAGAGCATAAAGAAGCCAAGTCCAAGAGGGTGCCATGGAATATTTCTCAGATTCATCGTAGAGAGGGTTAAACCAGGCTACTCCTTGGAGGCAAAGATTCTGGGGCTTCGTCTGAGATACTTTGGACATGTTGCAAGGAGGGACAGGTCCTTGGAGAGGGACATCCTGCTTGGGAGGGTGGAGGGACAGCGCAGGAGGGGAAGGCCCTCTATGAGGTGGATTGATTCAGTGACTGGGGTAATCGGGATGGGTGTGTCAGAGGCAGTGCAACTGGCAAAAGAGGGTTTAGGGCTGTTGTACATAGGGTCGCTATGAGTCGCAAACGACTTGACGGCACCTAACAACAACAATTATAAAATTGGAGAAGAGAGTCGGGACTGTTAGGAATTAAGGGTGCAGGGGCGAGGGCATCCTGTGGTAGAGAAAAGTGGATGCGGCTACAGAAGGACAAAGTTAAGAGAGTCTTGTGAGGAAGACCATTCTGTTCCTTAATTCTATCAATGATAATGTGCCATCGTTTTGCAGTTGCCCTATTAAAGGAACTGGAAAAGGATTCAGAGAATCTCTATTATTTCTTACAACTCTCAATCTACAATTGTCCCTGGGGGGAAAAAGAAGTTTAATTAAGAGAAGACAGTATCTTATACTAAATTAAAAACCCAGACCTAGCTTTCTGCTTCACAAAGTTACTGACAATGATTCATACTGTTCCTCTATTTTATAGCCCACCGGCAGTATGTGTCAGTAAGCATCACTGAAAATTAAAAACATTTTAATGCTGCAGACTCTTAAAGAGATAAAACTGTCGGGGCTGCCTCCAGCACAATAGAGATTGCTTTGGAGCTCAGGCCTTGTAAATATATACCCTTCATATAGTCTACTCCAGTCAAGACAGAGCAAGCTGACATCTCTCCCTTGCAAATAGTACCTTTGGAAAGCATGAAACAGTACAATACACAAAGATGTTTCTCTGCTTTGGTATTTGTACAGGCTTTTCATGTGTTACCTTAAAAATTTTAAAATATTAACATTGACAAGAAAAGTTAGAATACTGAAAACAGATGAATGACAAAAATGGGAGATGTGCGGACATAGATACAGGGGCATTTGAAAATGACAAGATTTTAAAAAGCAGAGCCAAGAGTAGCTCTGCTAGCCTTGTGGCAAGAAGCTGTGCTGCAATCCCAAAGGCACATAGCTTGAATCCACCAGATGCTCCGCTGGAGAAGGAGGGGCAATCTCCTTCTGTGCCTTTTGGATTCGATTGGATGGTACACAATAACATTTTTAAGGGGGAGGGAAAAAAGTAGAGCCAATCATTTTGTACTTCTCCCAAGTCATGAATCCGCACGTGATGTGGATCCCATTATTATGTGTGTCTTCCTATTGCTCTTAGCTACTGTAGAGTTGGTTACAACTCAGAGATTCTACCTCCAATAAAACCCAATGCTGCCCAGCCTGCACCACCCTCACAATTGTTTTATTTAAGCTACTGTTGTGACCACTGTGTCCGTTTTTGGTGTTGTTTTTTTTTTGCTGAC